CTTGGTGCAAATTTCCTTCTTAGGGTCTGGCCAAATTTCCCAACAATCTGGCTCTAGCATATATCGAAAGCACGGCTAAAATTGTATCGAGTCAAAAGAGGATTATTGATACAACATGGATGAAAAGACCCCCAATTTCCCAGTATTCCAGCATTACAGGAAAGATCACCCAAACTTTCAAACTGACCTGCTTTATAGACAAAGTTTAATTCTGCCTTTCACCCAGATCTGTCCCAAAGGCATTATTTTATCTGTCTCTGACTATAGATACGCACTTGTCTGGGAATAAGACATTTATAAAATTATGAACTATGAAGAAACTGGATGGAAATTTTATATTATTCTTTTCAAATATTAAAATTCTAGAACCAATGAAATGTATCAAAAAGATTCAGGATTAGCTTCTACAAATACTATTATCATATGGTGCACATTATTATTATGTAGAATTCCTGCTTTATTATTTGATAACGGGCACCCAGACAGAACTATCCATCACAGAGGTTAGCAGCAATAGTTAAAAATGAATCCTCCTTATTCAAAGTGCTCCTTGACATTTCAGATACTGGAGGGCAGCAGTTGCCTTGTGGTTTTTCTAAAGCGACCATTGCTGAACAATTTCCAATTTTTTAAAATAAATGTTTGCACATGCTAATAGTTTGACAGTATACGTACCACACAGGAGAACTATTTCTGAATGAAATCTAAAACCGGTGTGCCTATTTCCATCTGACATATGGTAGACAGTGTATCATTTTCTATCTCTGTGATGTTTATGAAGGTTCCATTCCTAATTCCTACACAAGGAGAACCAGCATGGCGAATACCTTTAGTACAAAAAACTGGGCTATATATTGGAGACAGGGGGCTCTTAAGGAAGCATTGACACTTAAGACTAGTTTCTAGAGTGATAAAAGACATTCTCTTTTATAAGTTGCTTGTTTGAGATTTGTTGTATACCTATTAAAAGGGTATTTTCCTAATGAATCTCACTAGACTGCAATCCAATATTGTTACAATACTTCCAGAATTCCCACATAGAATTCCTAATTATTAAACTATCTTGAAAAATAAGGCTATATAGTATGTAGTTCTCTCATTCAAAGACCTGGTCCTGTTCACAGCTAATTCTGTGGAAGAAAAAAAATGGGTACTTTCCTAGCATCCATTTTTTTTCTGCTTCACTTGTAAAGATAGAGTCACATTTCAAATGTGGTCACATACTTTATCCCTTGTTCTGCTGCAGTTGTGAACTGAAGTGATACCTTTGATCTCCCAAATCTACAACTAGCCACTAAAAATTCGTATCTGCCTGGAACTCCTTAGGTGACCTCAGGCAATTTCTTCTCTTAGTCTTATCTGCAGGATGGGGATAACAAGATTGTTCTAAGAACTACAAGATAAAAGATCTGAAGGTCTTTGAATACTTCAAAGCAGCCTCACAACCTGCTGCCTCCATGATGGCTTGGAATATCATTCCCTTACTTAAAGTATGGTTAGAATGTGTGTGTGTGTGTGTGCTAGTTGGGGAACACTGGAGTTGTCCTTTTCTGGACAATATTCTATACTTGCTTGTGATTATCATTAAAAACAGACTACCCTGAAGGTTAAAGTCCCCCAAGGCTTCCTTCAAATCAGTGAAAACTGATGTCACTACAGTAGCAGCAAACAGTGAAAATAATTCTTTCCCTTTGCTCCAGTCTGCCTTTCTTGTTTTTCCCCTTTGCTTTCTCAGGCTCCATGTCAACTTGGAACACAACAGACCATCAAGTTTGGGCTATGTTTTCATATCAGAACTTTTTACTTAAAAAAATAATAAAAATAAAATATGGCTTCTTTGGAGACCAACCAGGTCATTTTCTAAGTCCCTTAGGAATTTTTTCAAGGACTTCAGTAACATAAGGGCGCACATGTGTGTACACAGAGAGAGAGGGGGGGGGAGGGAGGGAGGGAGGGAGGGAGAGAGAGAGAGTGAGAGAGAGTGAGAGTAGTCTGTTTTTTAACCCAGACATCCTCATCAGGACTGTGGCCAGCCTCAGCTTTTGTGTTTTGAAACACAACTCTTTAGCCTTCAAAAATGTACAACACAATTCAGAAAGAAAAAAAGTGGTTTATTGAAATGCAAAAATGGAATATCCCTCTTGGAATCAGGGACATAAGATTTTAAATAAGGTCTCCTTATTTATTTAATCCTTCCAGCCCTAGGATTCTGTCTTTCCATTTATGCCATTCTGTTTAATGCCCTTTCTGATGGTGTACTGTTCTGTCTCCAAGCACCAAACACTTCTCTTTGTACTGAACACACCCATCCTTCTCACTTCTAAAACCCTGTCAGAAGGTGACTGAAAAGGGAAGAAGCCAAAATTCTCTGATGGGCTGGATTTAAACTGAGCTTTCCCTCATCAGTTCTTTCTGAAAGTTTCCTTATTATCTATCATCTAGATAGATCATCTAGCAAAAAATCATCTAGCAGAATCATCTAGCAGAAAATTGAGGCTGTTTGTGAGCACAAAACCTGGTACAAGTATAGAATTTAAGTTCCTGGAAAATGCCACATTCATTTTAAAAAGCAGCCCTTAGGGTTGGAGGCAATAATAAACTTTGCATGTGCGTGGGTAGAGCCTTAGGAAATGTCAGAAGGCAGAAATATGATTGAACCGAGTTCAATGGAGTCTGGACTTGAGTGGTACCATATGGTTAGCAGAAGTAGAAACTTGATCTTTGCTGCCACGATCAGCAAAATTGGGTTATCTTAAACTATCACTTGATCTCCTGCCACTCCCTTTTTTTTAGTCTGTGGAGATTCTCAGTCATCCAGGTCATGGTAGCACCAAAGGTGCTTTTTTGAAAAGCAACTAGAATTCAAGAGGAGTGGTCATTTGGAAGCTTCCTTCAGAAGCTTCTTGGATGAGAAGCAAAATGTCTTCAAGAAAAAATAAAGCCCAGTTCCTTCTTTTTAGGACCCCGATACCTGCAAGTTTCATCCAACCCAGATTCTAGGCTTAATTCTGATGGGATTTTCAAATAGCCCTTTCTTTTGACCCAAAACTTCTCCAGATATTCCGTCATATATTATAACCAAGATTTATTTCCACAGGGCAGAATCAGATGTTATCAAAAGGGGCCTGACCCTCTTGTTTGTTATTAATATCCACATGGGTTTGAGGATAGTTGCAGAGAACGACCTGTGGAAAAAGGTTTCAAACTTCTTCCCTAGGTGGTTTTTTTCCTGACAGCTAGGCTTAACTAGAAGACGAATCCAGCAGAAGGTGGGGGAAATGCTTAGGGGAGAAGCGAATCAGTGGGTAGAGTGCAGAATTAAAGTTCTGCTTCCTGTGATTGCCCATTCTTCTCAAGAATTTGTTCTCATCTCTATACAATTATTAACCAACAAGCAGAAGATCATTAACCAGGAAGCACAAATGTGCAGAAATATGTATTGTTCTGACTTCCAAATGGCCACCTCCCCTCGAATAAAGGAAAAGGTGCCTGTGCATGAGGGTTCTTAGTACTCCTAAAAGTACCATACTTACAAATGGCTATACAGCTGGCTTCCCCGACAGACCTTCTCAACCTTCAGGGAGCCATTCTATAGGCCCATGGTGGCGAACCTGTGGCATGCAGAGCTCTCTCTGTGGGCACACGAGCCGTCACTCCAGATCAGTTGTGCTATGCATGCACGCATGCCTCCTGCCAACCAGCTGGTCTTTGGATCTCTGCCATGCATGCGGGGGTGGTGGTGGGGTGCATGCAGGGTGCATGTGCAGGTTGCACACAGGGGCACACATGCATGTATGGGGGGAAGGGCGCATGCGCTGGGCTGCATGTGCATTGCATTTTGGGGGTTCCTGCAATGGGGCAGGGTGCATGTGCAATATTGCATTTTGGGGGTGTGCACAAGCTATGGGCACTCAGTCTGAAAAAGGTTAGCCATCACTGCTATAGGTGGTTTCTGTGTTAGCAAGAAAGCAACTACTTATTGGATGTTTATCTCATTGGAGGGGACAATGGGCAAAGTGACATCCATTGCAATCTCTCCTGATACTGCCACGTGGTCTCCACATATCTTGTAGGAAGTGGCACCCGCTCACTGTTACTGCTTTCCCAACAGCAACTTCTATAGCAGAGCACTTGCAGAGCAAGAAAGTGGAAGTGAACCTGATGACTGAGTGTCATAAACTTAACACCCTATCAGAAAGCTATTTCAGAAGACTTGACTTTGCTCAAGAGCTGTCTGCTCCATCACACCCATGGACCATTATGATTCATGGTGTCATAATTTCCACAGCAGATGCTAAATTAAAGTCCTCTATGGAGGATTAAATGAATATCTGAGCAGCAGTTTCAGCTGCATGTTCCAACTCAGAACAGCCTGATGTTCTCAGTCCTCAGAACAGGATGATGTAGACATAACTGGGTATGTCCAGTTGAAGCACCCAGTACTGGTTACTCTGATTCTTCCATATGATAATAAGTTTGGTCCTGTATTCCTAGATCCTCAATTATCCAAACCCAATATAAAATGGACTGCCACATAAATTAAGCATGTACAAATTACCAGAGATGAAAACAGAGATGATTCAACTTTCTGTTTTCTAGATTTTCAGATAAAGACCAATTCAACTGCAAGAATCCTTCCATACTCCATTAGCCACCAGATATGTTGGGCTGCAACCTTTGTCATTTCTAGCTATTTCTAGCCAAGCACAGGATGGTGGGAACTCTAGACGATATGCTTTTACTCAGAATCTGGGAAGCTGGAGATTCCCAGTTCCCTTTGGTTCAGTGAAGAAACATGATAGACGCAAGAATGCCCAGCTATATGCGTAAGGAGGTAGCAGTAGGAGCACAAAATAAACTGGTCCCTCACCTCTAGTGCAGAGAGAAGTTGACTATTTAATTCCTTCTCATTTCTCATTCCTCTGTGGCAAAACATCTCTTGGTAAACAATTGTCATGTATTAGTAGGTGGAAATTGCAGAGCCCCCATCCTTCACTCACCCACAAGTAAACACACAACATCTACGGCCACCAAGGTTTTCCTCAGCAATGTTCGTGGAGGAGCAAAGGCAGTGGGTTGAATTGCTGCGCTCCCCACAGTCACCCGGACCTCTCTATGTTCATTCCGCCACTGTAAAGGCTGCAGGGCCTGATTATGAAGGAGTTCAGTGTGATTGTTATGCATGGTCCGTTCAGGTCAGCTTGCCTTCTGCAGGATCAAGTTGGAGCCAATTTCTTAGCCCCTGCAAGGAAAACAGAATCCAGAGCTTTGGTTCCAGGTGGAGAGATGATTAACTGAGATCCAGTCAGTAGCTCTTGGAAGAAAAATAAGGAAAGCGATGCCAGGTTCGGCAAAGCAAGCAAACCTGGCTTCTGAGAATCCTCGGGCGATTCTGTCCGACCTTCCAAGGGGCCTGGCGGCGGGGTGGGCTGGGCTAGGGCGAGGTTAAACTACAACCAGTAACTTTTCGCTACAAGTTATTAGCCCAACGCGCCCCGTCGCGAAGGAGGCGTTTTGCAAGGTTCTTCTTACGTTACCTCCCCTGCCACGAGGTGGCAGATCCGGAGTAATCGAGCTAACCGAACTTTGTGAGGGAATGGGGCAATTTCTGAGGAAGCAGCTGCTTCGGGGCAGAGACCCACCTGGAGTCTTCGCTTTCGCCTTCAAACCGCGCGCGTCCGGGTTGGCGACTGCAGAGCTAGAACGGGAAGGAGGAGGACCATTCTTTCCCGGCTAGGCTGAATCTCGGTTTAGCTCAACTCCGTCTCTGCTGGTCTTTCGTCGGTTTCTTTCCTTTCCTGACGCGCCCGCTCTACCCTCCCTTCTCCTCAGCTGAGTTGCCGGAGAGTCCGAGCGGGAAAGGAAGTCGCGAAGCGGCTGCGATCCAATTCACGTCATAGAACCATCGAATTGGATCGCACGTGCACTTGCGCGTAAGCCCCTCGGTTTACTTCCGAATCGATCTGCTGCTGAACTCTTGGGAAGCAGCAGAAATCAACAGGGAGGGGCGAAGGACGAGAGATCGGGGCGGCGCGCGGTGGGACCCCGAGCCAACCCTCTGCCCCTCGTCGCTATGGGCCATCGTCGGAAGCGTCCCGTGCCCAGAGCCGCCGAAAGAGTCCCAAGATGGGAGAAACCGCATCAGCCAGCAACTCCCCTCTGGCAGCAGACGCGCTCCTCACGCCTAGATCCGAGGGCGGTCCCTGTCATGAGGCAGGGTCAGGTGGCAGTTCTGGGAGTTTAAATCGAAGAATAGTCCCTATTTTCACCGACGTTACTCACTTTCTTCTCCGTCCCCTTCTCAAAACTCATATTCTTGCTTCACCATTTGGCCAAGGGCACAGCTTGCCTTCTGCTAGCCGAGGAACTGCTCTACCTGAGCAAAGGTCAGGTGTATCCAATCAAGTTATCCGAAGAGAAAGGGAGTTGTAGTTTAACCCATAAAGGACACCACGGAGGAAAAAACTTATGGGTCTTCCTCACTTGTACCTAATCAAAACACAATCCTGATCTGGCAACGCCCCCTCCAGTAATCCTCTGGTGTTCCCTTTAGTTTCTTCCCAGCCCATGTAACATGGCTTAAGTTGTCTTTATGGTACCTGCATTTCAATAGTATTTTCCTCAATTTTGACAACCTCAAGCATTTAAAATCTGTTGTTGCCTTATTACCTCTTAGTTAAGTTAAACGACTACAGTGATTTGAAACAGATGGGACTGAGAATGGCCAAAGTATGCAGAGATGAGTGACTATCATTACAGGAAATGGGAGGAAAGAGCCTTTATTGGAGTTAAGCAATTCAGGACTGAAGTGGGATAAAACAAAAGTATGAGGGAAATTTTGATCCCCAAGAATGGGTTAATTTCAATAAAGTTTCCAACCTGTAAGTCAATTATTCACCAAAGGAAAAGTTCGTTGAATTTACTATCAAAATACATTATTTTATAACTGAAAAGGACTTCTAGGCAACTTAATTCCAGATTACCAATGGTATCATCATAGACATACTATAAAACTTCCACATGCTATTGTGGTGGTGGTGGGGTGGTTGGAAGGGATAAGTTGGGACTATAGGGTCACCCAACACTTATTATTCGGCAGCAGTGACATAGGTGCTGCCAGAGGCAGATGATCAGTTTTGTGATGATAGTAAAGTTATCATTCATATTGCACAGGAGGAGGCAAGGGTAAACCACTCTTGTACTTCAACAAAACCACATGGATAGAAAGTATAAAACAATTGACAATATGGTACTGGATGATGGCCCCAAAGTTTGAATGGCACTCAACATGCTACTGAGAAAGACCTAAACATCCTCTGAAATATTAATGGTGTTTATGATGTGGTTAGATTTGGAGATATCCAGTTGCTGATGTTGCCATGTAGAAAAAGAAAATCTGAAGCTGCAAAGATGGAATTACAATGGGAACATGATATATAAGAAGCATGAACATAGTAAAATTACACAGTGAAAAATGAATGAATTCACTGTTTGAGAAAGATTGGCGGAGGCATGGTGGCTCAGTGGCTTAATGAGATGGTTTTTGTTCTAGCACCACATGGTGGGGTAAGCTCCTGTCACTTATCTCAGCTTTTGTCCACCTAGCACTTTGAAAGCATGTTATATGCAAATAGATAAATAGGTATCACTTTGGTGGGAAGATAAGCCAGCACTTACTATGATCAGAACTTGCAGGTGCTGGACCTTCCCAGATGAGACACCCATTTGGAAGGCTACTTCGAAGGAGGGAGAAGGCCCTGGATGACGCTGCAGGATGCTGTTTGTCTTGCTTTCTGGTGGAGCTAGCTTGTCCCTGTGGTGCATCTTGAAAAATGCACAAGCATGAACCAAATGGACTAGCATGTTAGGCAGCCAAAACACTACTCTGTATTAGCATTGTAGACTCCTGATTAATGTAATATTGGCATATGCTAAATAATTAAAATAAATTGTCAGAGCCAGGGGAGGACTAGAAAAAGAGGGATTAACTTAGAATCCTTAGTGGCCACAAATGAACAAAGTCCAACCCTCTTTGATTGCTGTTGTCCCTTATCTAACTCTAACCAGGTGCTGACCATTAGTTGAGAAGATACCTGTGCATAGGCTTTTAGCAACAAATCAGCTAATTTGAACCTTCACATGCGATCCTGGTTTTTCGTGCCTGACATCAATTGTACATTGACATCTTGGGCATCATTGTATTGATTGATGGATTTGAGATTGATTGAATTGGACTCTTTCAGTCAAAAGGTCACGCTGTGTACTATTTAGGAATGGAAAACAAGCAATGGCATTGTTTTCATAGTGAGAAAAGAACAGAACTTTGTTCTCCCACCACTAATACAGAAGATGAGGAGGATAATGAGTCTTGTGATAAAATTCAATTTGAAATTGACAGAACATGCAGGCAAAATGTGTTGTTTGTGGTTGGAGACTGCAATGCTAAATTTGGAAAAAAATATTTGGACCATATGACCTAGGAAATTAAAATTAATCAGGATAACTTACCATTTCTGCAATCTACTCCTTTCTTCATTGCCAACATAGTCTTCAAACAATGCCTATATACATGGATATCACTAGATGGGGTATGTAGAAATAAACTGATTATATTATTAATAGAAGGAGGTGAAGGAGCTGAATTGTAGTATCCAAGACATGGGCAGGGACTGATGGTGGAAGAGATAATTAATTGCTCCTGTGCAAGTTCCCAGTAAAGCTGAAGTAAAAAAAGAAAGCCATCCAGTTTCTACCAGAAAGTGTGGAGCCAGAAGTGTGTGGCAGCAGCCAAAATGCCAATGCAATTCTAGGTTGCATTAACAGAGGTATAGAATCAAGATCACATGAAGTGTTGGTACCACTTTATAATGCCTTAGTAAGACCACACTTGGAATACTGCTTCCAGTTTTGGTCACCATGTTATAAAAAAGATGTAGAGACACTGGAAAGAGTGCAGAAAAGAGCAAAAAAAATGATTAGGAGGCTGAAGGCTAAAACATGAAGAACAGTTGCAAGAATTGGGTATGTCTAGTCTAGTGAAAAGAATTGGGGTGACAAGATAGCAGTGTTCCAATATTTGAGGGGTTGCCACAAAGAAAGGGGGGGGGAGAGGTCAACCTGTTTTCCAAAGCACTAGAAGGCAAGACAAGAATCAATGGATAGAAACTCATCAAGCAGAAAAGCAACCTAGAGAACAATTAAACAGTGAGTGGCTTGCCTTCAGAAATTGTGAGTGCCCCATCACTGGAGGTTTTTAAGAAGTGATTGGACAGCCATTTGTCCAGAACAATATAGGATCTCCTGCTCCAAGGTTCCTTTCAACTCTGTTATTCTGTTATTCAAGAAAGACAAAGATCTCAGGAAGCAACTTAACAAAGAGTTTCAGACAACTGTTAGAAGAGACAATAAACAGTATTGCAACACCTCTGAAGATAGAAACAGGCATGGAAAAACAAAGAAAATCTTCCCCCCAAAACCCCTAAACTCAAAAGGATAGTCCAACTTTAAATAGGTATGCTAGAGGATACCAATAAACAGATCATAACTGATTTTTAAAAAAAAATCAAAATGGAAGGAGTATTCAGAAGCTCTGGACAGTAAAGATATCATCATCCAAGATACCTCACAAGATATTCCCTACTTTACAAAAGTTTCTAGTATAAGATGAAGTTAGATCAGCACTCTGGTCATTCCCAAGTTAAAAGGCTATAGGAATTGATGCCACATTCATAGAAATATGTCAAGCAATGAAGAAGAATCAGTGAAGGTTCTCACTAAACTATGCCAGCAAATCTGGAGAATGACACAATGGCAAAGAGATTGGAAGAGATACATATATCTATGTTTCATTATATATCCAGGAAAGGAAATATATCAGCATGTGTAACTATTAGAGAATATCCGGAATTTTACCCGCTATCAAAATAATACTTAGGATCATCTGACGCAGATTAGAAACCCACATGGGAAAGGAAGATACTAGATGTTCAAGATGGCTTTAGAAAAGATGAGCAACAAGAGTCATTAATGGATAATTACGAAAGCCAAAGAATATCCAAGATGTCAATACACATTTCATTAACTCTAGAAAGGTATCCGATTGTGTGAAATATATCCATCCCTGAACATCTCATTGTTCTATATACAAGCTGGGAAGCCACAGTATGAAGAGAAGATGATGAAACAATAAAGTAAGGCAAGGCTGTGAACTCTCTTATTTATTTAGCCTCTATCTGGAATGTATATTGAAGGAAATGAGACTGAAAGAAGACGAGTGTGACTTTAAAACTGGAGAAAGAAATCTCAAATCCTGTGCTAAATTGATGACACTACTCTTATTGCTGAAAATGCAAATGATTTGCAGATTTTAATACTGAAATTCAAGGAGCATAGTGAAAAAAAATGGGTCTAAGATTAAATATAAAGAAGACCAAACTAATAACAGGCATAGTAAGCAGTTAAGAATAAATAATGAAAATACTGAAGGGGTGGGTAGTTTTTGCTTTTTAGGATCAACAGAGAAGAATCAGGAGTCAAGACATGTAGATTAGTACTTGAGTAGCAGTGAAAGCCTTAGAAGATATGTTTGGGTGCTGTGATTTGCTTATACCTAAAAAGATCAGAATAATAAATAAATGCCCTGTAATATTTATGGAAATAAAATATAGACTTTAAAAATAGGTTTTAAAGAAACAAGATAGAAAAGAGTATCAACACTTTTGAACTATAGTGTTGGAGGAGACGCTTGAGAATATCATGGTAGCCCCCTCAAAAAAAAAAAATTAACAAATGGGTACAACAAATCAACAAATCAACCCATTTAAGTCTCAAACAAATATGCTCAATTTATCATACTTTCAGCATATCATGCAAAGAACTAGCTACCAATGGAAGACTATGTAGCTCAAGGTTGAACTGTGGGATCCTTGGTGCTCTCTGAGCTTGGCTGGTTTTGGGGTTTTTGTTTTTTGTTTTGCAGTAATTTCATTACCAAACTAGGTATGATATCTAGTTTGGTAAAGAAACATGCAAGAAAGCAACTAAACTCAGCACCAAGGACCCCAAAGAACTAGCTGTCTGGAGAAGTCTAGGCAAGGTGAAAGGACAGACAAGGGGACAACCAGCAGCAAATCATCTTGGAGGAAAAAAAATATCTATGTACCGTATATCATTATTAGGAGTTGCTGGCACTTAATTCATCAATAATTTTTGCTGACTCAAGAATGGGTGACGCTCAGTAAAATTCCCATTCCCACATAAACATTTCTGA